CCTTTTGATTGGGAATCTTTATCTTGTCGACCGCACAACTTCCGACAGGTTCGCAATAATTCCTCTTGAGCTTTCTGGCAGTGAAATGACATACCATTTTCCACACTTTACGTTCAAAAACCTTGATAAGGCAAACGAAACTGTTGGGCGGCCCAGGCAAGTTGAAAAAACATTCCTAAAATGCCGAAAATACGAAGATAGAAGGGAAAAAGACAATTCTGGCCTGTTGGCATGTATGTTACGAAGCAGACGAAAGCGTTGTTTGAGCAAGTGCCACTGTAACGGACGAAGAGGAGGTCTGCGGCCGCTTTCAATCAGAATTATATGAACACTGCGCCGCCATTGGTTCCGCAAGCTTGAGAATCTAACGACGGGAAATCAAATAAATGCCACCAAAGTCAGTTGGAACCGCCCCAAAACGACGCCGTGTGAAGGAGGACCCGTGTCAGGTCGAACGATATGGACCCACATAGACGAAGTACAATATCGCCTACGGTTTGGGTAGAACAAAGCCTGTCTGGGGAAAGCGGGCGAAACTCATTTGCCCCGTATCGCTCAAATGTACCCCCTGCAGCAACAATCCAGTAGATGAACTGTTGAAAACGTTCCATGTAACATAATTTCCCCACATGTTCTATGGTGAATAAAGACATGACCGAAAACGAAAGGTACTTTAAAAAAGTCTACAAACGTTGCAGGAGCCACCCGTTGTACGGTGAGAGCCGACACGGCCTAAAAACAGGCAATGCTAGTACCTTGGCAAAAGGAGGAAATCAAGGCGTACACACGTGGTAAGACAAAACAGGTTATATATTTGTGGGGAGAAAGCTTGAAGCGACCGCATGACAAGTAAGTAATCACGACAAAAGGACATATTGAAGGTAATCTGTGAATGCGGTGGTATCAATGTGTCAGGTCATGGGTCACGCCACAAAGTCCTGAAATAATGCACTGAACAAACCCTACTGAAGAAAATGAAGTAGCTGGTTATGGATGTCAAAACAAGCTGGCCCGATTTCTTACCTAACCAAGCCAGCGAGGTCAAAATTAAGTCCGCTTAACGGACCTGGCAATAATGGAGTTCGACAGAGTGAGGCTGAAAAGCAGAAGTAAGTGTTTGGTTTTGCTGAATATCAAGGAGTGTTCGGGTTCAGGGAAGTGACGTTAGGCCTCCACATCTAGGTATGCAGTCGGAAACATCTGTCGAAATGCGTCGTAGTGCTATCCAACTGAAGAAAGCTTTTGTAAAAGGACGATTGGGATTATGTTGAAAACGCAAGATGCTGCGGTTAGATGGCGCCGAGCGCAACATTGTGAATGCTGAGCATGAGTAAACATAGGGGATAAGGTAGGTGATACTGACAAAGGCAGACCTCACCTTGTGGAGATCAGGCACGACATTGTAGGAGTCGGAAAAGGACAGAATACATTCCGCGCAGTTGGCTTGTGGCGGTGCTACACGTTCACCATTCCTGATGTGCACTGCATTTGAGTTTTGGAAGTAGGGATCCTGGCCTTTGACTGGAGTGAATAAATATCGATGGTGTCGATCATGTGTCCGGGTAATTGGGGCGAGGGAGAGCCGAGGATACGTTTTGGGAATTGAAGGCAACATCAAATTGTCATGGTTGGTGAAGCACTGTTTCCAATACTCAGAGCAGACGGAAACTTACTCCACCTGGTTTTGAGGACGCGTTGCTTAGCATATTTGTCTTTGGCTATTTAGGCTCGTCGAATAGCATTCTTCGCTTGAACGGTGCTTACAGACAACCGATCTGTCGTTCGCGGTTCCGGTTAGATGATACTTGGTAGTCCTCCTGACACCGCAAACTCCCAGCTGCCTGTCAATCGGTGCCAATCCGCCTAAGATAGTACCTCTACAATGAATGAGGCAGGCGAAAGCTACCTCTTCTTATGAAAGTTGATGTAGGGAAAGCCTCATTGTCATCGTTACCGGTGCCAATCCGCCCAGGATAGTACCTCCACAATGAATCTGGTACAGGTAATACAGCGCACGCGTAAATTTAGAAGCATAATGAGAACGTTATCATAGCTACTGAATTTAAGCCAGTAGGTACAATTGTAGATTCTGTGGGCACGCCTGCCAACTACCTCTTCTAATGAGAGTTGATATAGGGTAAGCCTCATTGTCATCGTTACCGACGCAAATCTGCCCAGGATAGCTCCTCTAAAATGAATCTGATACAGGTAATACAGCGTGCGCGTGAACTTAGAAGCATAATGAGAACGCAGTCACAGCTACTGAAATCGGGCCAATAGGTACCAATGTGGAGTCTGTGGGCACGGCTACCAACTATCATCTTACCGCGGTTCCTATGCTTGTCAGCACTAACTAAAGTTACTCTAAACTCTGTGGGAGTCCTCAAGCCGTCGACGCACTGGTGAGTTGTCTGGGCCTTGATGACTTCCCGACTCTGCCTCCAGCGCTGAGCGACAACACTTGCTTTTTATATGTAACCACTTGGGTGCACTAGTCTCAAGTAGGCGGATATCTCTGCGTATTCTGAAATCCTATCCCCCAAATGAAAGTCGATGGAGCATCTGGAGCTAAATGTGGGCGCGTCGTGGATGTTAGGGAAGACAAGTCCTAGGGGTTCGCTGCAATGCGTAGGGCTGACCTAAGTCTTAGGCTTCAAGTCGCCAATGCAAGCCTTCGAATAAATAGGTCATCATATTTTAATGGTAATAGGCAATGCCTTTGATTGAATTAGTCATGGCGCTTAGTTGTACGAACGTAAAACGACCGATTAAATAAGTGCAGCTGCATAAAAATCCTAGTTTAGTTGGCTGAGCTCGTTGCGTGTGGGTGGGTGAGAGGACAGCGCAGTGGGGTCTTTATTGATCGATGAATGTGGGAAGTCTGCGAACGTGTATGAAATCCGAAGCGCAATTGGCCATCGGCCAAAGTGTTTAATCATGTGTCTGCTAATAGTAGTATAGGTTTTGTAGACGTCTGACGGAGACTACATCGGTGCTCTTACGGATATTAACTCTCAACATATAGCTTTCAACGGCAGCGACATTGACAACCTTAGCGGATCTGACATCCAGATCCACAGTATCCCCATCGCGAATGTGACCAAATGTCGATAATCTAGTAGCCATCCTCATGCAAAAGTTAAAGAACATAATCCAACTTTTTCCGCAAAGTCACGCCCAGATGAATGTGCAGAGGAAGTGTGTGCGGAAAGTAAAAAAGCAAAAATGTCCGTAAAAAACGTCGACAAGGCATATAAGACCTCCTTTTTCGATTTTATGCCTTCTGTTGATCCGGGAACCTTACCTTGCTAAGTCGATGGCTGGCAGGTTGGAGTCCGACGAGTTGGTGTGAGGGAAACCACACCGTGAGTGGCACCTAGTGCAATAAGGAATGGGTTTGTGACTTCCAAGTTGATCGATTGTATTTCGAACAGGCACACAGTTTGTGAGTGCATGACCTGGCTTACTTGCGAGAGCAAGTGCAAATTCTCAATGATTGTAGTGGACAGCCATAATGGCTACGTCGCGCCCCTCGCTAGCGCATGCACCTACGTTCTAGCGACAGCCTGTTATAACACTCACGCCTGCCCGGCTTCGATTTGTCTCGTTGCAATTCACTGTCTGCACCACGCATTCGGTCGATTCTCTGCCTGCACCACACGAGGCTTATCACTACCTTCGCGTGGGCTCGGAGCCAATCAACGCAACTCTTATCGCTGATTGGTAAGACAGGCGGGAACAGTCCAGAACAATAGAGTAAACAATCTGCAACGACACTTTTGCAGCGGCGACCTTCGGCGACACAGGGCTCGTCGCTCTCGCGGATGCCGCCTCCGCGGCGCCGGACGCATACTCGTCCGGTTGCCAAATTTCCCCTTCACTATTCTGTACAGAATAAAGTGTCCTAATCAAATGGCGTCCTGCTTCTAACAACTTGGGATATGGCCTGAGGTTGTGGTGTACTGAGCGTACACCATCACCGCTTGGTCGCTACATGATAAAACGTAGCAAGAGCACGTATTTTGCTAGTGAGCCCCGCGTTTGATAGTGGTGCCATTTGTGAGATCCTTCGGATTTGAGGATATACGCTACCGTTTTTTGCGGAACCTTTTGTTGATAATCACAGCGTTGGATAATGGCAGTGGACGGGTGCCCACTGTGATTCAAAGTATCATTAATTGGTGGTCAATATCTCAGTCATGTAAAGCCGTGGGTATGGAAAGTCAGGTGTAGTGAAAATCGAACAACGAGGCCTACTGGACTCCGGACATGTTACCTGCTTACATTGAGTGTAAAAGTCCAGATTACTAGATTCTATTGAATACTCAGAACGCAATCGACAGGACAACGCGCCCGAAGCTCAATGGAAGGACATTGGATTTAATAATGTTCAGCACCAATAAATGCGGGGTGGAATTTCAGGTCCTGCAAGCCTCTGGTGGGGTTTGTTTGGCTGACGACGACGACAACGACGATGACTACAACTTTGTCGGCTGTGACCACCAAAAAGTGCCCATTTATTTGGAACCTCAAAGGCTACACTCAAGTGTTGTTTATACTTGGAAGATACTTATCCAGCATTGAACGGTTACCTTTAAGAAATGATTGTTTAGAAACAACTGAATCACCCGGAACAAAAATACCTCCAAGACTGTGACAAACATGTTTGGAGGATATCAGAACGACCTATTTTGTTTATTAAACTTGCGGCTATACGACTGTTTCGTCCACCAATACACCCGATTGGCCATTGAACCATTGTGCTGATCTACAAATGAAAGCGCCCCGGGCTGCCTTCTGACTGCAGTCCTGGAAAGAGCTTAAGAATGAGACAATGTACACACCCTCACAAGAGTTATTATTAGCTGTGTGGCGTTTTGGACTGGGTTCCTTACTGTCAAAGCTAGATCGCGCATGGAAATAGACATGTTGACACCAGGTGAGTCACCAGATGCTCCAACTAAAACGGATGCTGGGGTACCTTTTTCAGTCGGGATAGAATGAGGAACCAGCCGAAGCCGTCGCGCAATCAATCACAACGCCAGTTGAGACAGCAGGTGAAAATGGCCCTACAAAACGAGACTCCTTCCAAGGACAATCGGCGTCTGTCTTCGGCGATTGGCGTCATCGACTGCGCATGTCGGCAGCACCAGGACTGGTTTAACGACGACGACGACGACGACGACGACGACGACGACGACGACGACGACGACGACGACGACGACGACGGTCAGAACAACAAGATGCCCACATAGTTTGTTTATCAGTGCCCAATTTGGAGCGTCTTTAAAGGATACCAGAAGCCAGGAGAGAGCGCTCTCATTCTGCACAGTGGGAGGGCTTTCATCGTTTGTTGGGCTCTCACCATGTGACGGCTCATAGGCGGTATTTTTTGCGTCACCACGACAACTCCGTATGTCGGCCTTTTAAGGAATTTGGTTTCTCGTGGGACACTGAACTGGCAACCCCTCAACACATTTCTACTTTTCTGTCGGTCTAAGGTATGATAACGAGATTTTTGACGGTCTTCAGTTTCTTTAGTGAAATATTTTCGCATTTGGGGAGTACTTAGCGTGTCCTTCCAGCCCCTCGGCGGGATAAAACCTGGTATCGGATAAGGTTCATCATCTCCTTCGTCGCTCTCATCTGATTGGGGACGAAATTTGGGTGCTGAAATTATCTTGATGTGGTTGGCATCTGCCGCCATCTCCTTCTGCATCAGAATGTGTACCAGGGGGGAATGTTCCTTTCTCCATGCCCTGCCGAATGTCGTTATACAAAATTATACACTACAGTGAATTTTAAGTCACCTCATGTCTGTTGAGGCTTGCTTGCATTTTGTTTTGATCCTTTATCTAAAAGGCAACATGTTCCGGGTTTAATATCCTTTCCATACTATAGCACCATGAATCGAATACACTACTGTATTGCATTTCTTCCGCGGTTAAATATACTGCATTGCAGGCTGTGGATAGAACAAACTCTCACGCGAGAAGCTCTCGGATAACCACGTTTCTGCAGCCCTACTGACTGCTTGCCACTCGGATACCGAGAATAAATCGATCCTAACACTATTTACAGCCATTCTGAAGAACGCAAAGCTGCTGATCTTGAGAGGAATGGGGATGAGCAGCTAATTCCCACCACAAATGCTGCAACCCTTGAGAATCTAGATATTTTATAGGTCTTCGTCTGCGGAAAAGTCAGACAAATAAGCTGTGTGCTGCGGGATACGTGTCTCCTGCCCCTCGCCTGTTTCCCCAAATTCCCCCTTGGCTTGCAACAGCAATTCCTGAATTCAGTGATGTCCCTCATATAGTATGACGCAAACGTCTGGTTCTTAATAGGCGCCCAAATCTTCTGAGTATTCCCCAGTTTTTCTCCGTTTATAAATAAGGCAATACTTCCACCAAGTAGCTGAATGCCTGGGCCTTCCTCCGACATCTACACGTAAAGTCACTTTAAGGATTGTGGCCTTCTCAAGACTTCATTCGCTCTTTGAGAAGAGCTCATTATAGCTTCCATACACAGCATTCACTAGCGTTTACCGTTCAAGTCAAGGGCACTCACTCGTTAGCATACTTGTCCGTATTCATTCTTGCATGCGTCATTTGCTAGACAATACAGCATGCCTCCAGATGATTAAATACGAAACATCTGTTCGGCCACCTAAGTACAATGGATGACTTGAAAACTTGTCACCGCTTAGCAACCACTAAAATTTGCATGATATTTCCAAAAAATATGCGTATATTATAGTTTTGGAGCGGCTGTGAACGCCACCCATTTGTCCTTAATGGAGTATATGTTAGTCGCAGTTCACCTGGAGACGACGAGCTCAAGTAATGTCTTACAAAAGGAGCGCAACGCTAGCAAAATATTGAAATAGGGGAACACGTAATGACCTCCTAACCCTGTTTCAGCGCGTCAATTCAACAGTATTTACAATTTTTACTGAAATGAAGTAAGTAGCGCGGATAACAGTGGCGTGTATGAGACTGTGATCTCAACAGCGGGGGAGCTGTAGCTGACAGCCGTCATCACAGTTCAACGCTCCGCTGTGTCAAGGTCATTCACCTCGCCGCCGCCCAGGTGCCAACTCGCTGACATTACTGTCGTCTGGCCGACTGCGACACACGCATTCGCGCGCATCTGGCAGTCACAGCCGTCTGTGCCCAATTTCAACACGCCCCCGCCCACCTAAAGCAATATTGGCTACTAGGCGCACTCCCCTCGGGTAAGGCAATATGCGCTACTTGAACGCACGACACTCGAAATCGCTCCCACAAACACATAAATACGCCGCACTCTCTCTCTCTCGGGCATAAGTTGACACTGTCACCAGACGCCCGGGAAGACCCCCCGTTATTGCCTTTGTGCCTGACAATAACTAGGCCGTTTGGTTCCGTGAACTGCCATTGGAGTGTTCATCGCCCAGCGAATCTGCGGTGGTTAAGGTACACCTATTACTAAAGCCGGCACGACGGTGAGAACAATGCATCAGATCTTCCGTGCAAAAGCTCAAACCGACATCGACAAACACGGCAGCGAATAGCACATGGACTAGCTTACCTCACCATTCCAAAAGGTGGGACGACATGGACGAAACCTGCAGGATTTTAGGGATACAATAATTTTTTATGTAAGCAGGCCATCAGCAGGCCGGAAAATCTGCCAGGAAGGAATGTGCTTCTTCACTATCGTCGGAAAAATTGCAGCATGAGCTCAACAGTAGAGTTAATTTTGTCATGGGGATTGGAAAAATGCGGCCAGATCGCAGTGCGTTGCCCGAAATGCGGAAGCTAACCTGAGATGAAAACCCTGACTCTAACCGTAAAACCCTAACCAAAACACTAACCCTAAAACCCCAACCCTAACTATAACCTTAAAACCTATCCCAAACATTAACTCAAAAATCCTAACAACAACACTAAAACCTAGCCCTAATCTTAACCCTAGCATTAACCCGAAACCCCAACCTCAACCCTAAAACCTAACCTTAAAGCCAAAACCCTAACCCCAAACCCTAATTCTAAACCTAACCCTAACCTTGACACTAAAACCGAACCCTAAAACCCTAACCCCAAAAATTAATCCTAGGCCTAACCCTAACCCCACCAAGCCCAACAACCTGACCGAAACGGGCGACCTGCCTAACTCAGTAGAAACACACCTACTGATAACATGTTTCCTTGATAAGGGAGACACACCTACTGATTACAAATACGTCGACAACATCAACTCATAATGTCTGGCTACGAACTGCGATCTTATCGGAAAATGCTGCAGAGCCACGGCCTATGGCGAAACGCGAACACGTGTCATGCAGCGGCCCACTCCGGCCGCGGCACGTTAACTCGGACAGGCAATTAGCGTACGTTGCAATATCGAGCTCGCGTGATGGCTTCGCTCACGCGTGCGGGCGAATATTCGAGACTTTACTCGGGGGGCGGGGGTTCTCGCGCTCGCGATGGCCAATCCGCGACCGGCACGCCGCAGAACGCTCTCAACTGTTTGCGCAGCATTGGCCGGCATGTTCCAGAACGCGTAATGCGTCCTTCTGGCGAGTAAAAACCCCTCGTGTTCGCATGCTGTCGATGAAGTGCTTCTTTTCTGAGCCGACTAGCTTTCTGTCGCACCTACCTGTCGGGTCACAGCAAATTTAATCTGAGGCGAGGACGTATTGAGAGAGCCAAGGGGAGCCTCGAAAAGACTGTTTGGACTTCAAAATAATCTGCGCGGTCTCGTAACTATGACGGATGCCGGGAAATGTGGACCAGTCCAGACATCATTTCGTGGATCACACGGAGATCTTTTATGTGGTGTACAGATGCGGCATTTGAAAAGCAATAACAAGTGTAAAACCTCAAACGATTTATTCTGAAGGTCAAGCAGTTTTGCAACGGCATAAGAGAGAGAACGCATGGCACAGAGTGAATCGTATCAGACCTCTGCCCGGTAGCGAATGAGGTGAAACAAGTCTGTGTCCTCGCCCTAACCCTCTTTATGCTCATGTTCTCCGCAATGCTGATGAACGCTTTCCGACAGGACATAACATACATCCGTAAAAAACGATCGAATTGGATAAATACTGATCAAAATCCACCGTATACACGCAATCATGAAAACCCCCAAAAGCCAGACGCTTGGCTTTTTCGCCGACGTTTAAACACTGAACACCACAATCACATCCAATATTTGGCGAGGTCGGGACATGACGCTCACGGCTGCAATGACTTCGAACTAATTAGAAGCACGCAAAAAAACAGTTATTATGCCCCAACCCGGGCCAACTGCTGAATACATCTAGCCTCTGGTAGGTATCGATTGTCATCAGCTCACATCAGTAGACCTATTCCCCTACCATCTACCAAACCAAATTAGAAAGACTAAACTCCCTGCATAAGTAATTCCAGAAATGTATTTCAGTGACAGTGACTGGAACGGACACCCACTCACGGGAGTCGACTGGCAAGCTCAGTATACTGTAGGTGGGCTAACTCATGAAATGTCAACCGATTTATTAAGTAGGATTGTAAAACTAATCAGTTTGCAGTATAATTCTATAATAATTCAGTTACCACAAGATGTCGGCTTCCGAATGAACTTCCTTCCGGCTGCATGCAATACCTACACTCTGTAAAAAATGACAACTTAAGTAGCATGAATTTTTCTCATTGATTTTCGATACTCCAAAAAGTCCAATTGTATTTCATCGATAACATGCATGAGAATATTCATTCTTCTGCTCATTCGGCAGAACATTACGTCTTCTTTCGGTTTTCAAAAAGGTTTCAATTCGCGAATAATTTTGAACCCCCACCTGCCGCTGCACTTGTATACAGGGTTCTCAAACTACAAGCCGTATATTTTCCGCGTACGGAAAACCACACATTTCTTTACGGTACTAAAAAGGGACCATATAGGGTTTATAAAATTAAGCAGTGGGTTCGATCAATATTGTTAACTTTAACATTGGTAAATGCAGAGACATGACGTTTTATGAACGATCATTTCACGGTATTTAAAATTCTCTCAATTAGAAACTTTTTTAATACCGAATTATGTCCCTGCCTCGATTATAAAATTGGAAGAATACGTAATTTTCTACCGAATGAAAGTATGAATATTCTTATGTTCGTTATCCATGAAATAAAATCAATGAGAAAACTTCATGCCACATAAGTAGTCACCTATTAGAGCGCGGTTTTTGCATGCAGACGGAAGTAAGTTCATTCGAAAGCTGGCATCCTGA